GAGACCAATTTCTCGACCACATCAATTCCATATACCCAGCCATCAGATTTACCATGGAGGTCGAAAAAGATGGCAAGCTACCCTTTTTGGATGTCTTAATTAAAAGGAGACCTGATGTTTGAATGAGCCACTCTGTCTACAGAAAAGCTACCCATACAGATGCTTACTTGAAACCGGATTCCCACCACCATCCATCCCAGAAGAACTCCCTCATCAAGACTCTATACCATAGAGCCCAATGCATTTCCGACCAGGAACACATTGCTAGTGAACTCAAGCACGTACACCAGGCTGTCAGGGCTAATGGTTACTCCGACTACCCAATCCGCAAAGCCATCACTCCAGTCATGAAGAAGGATCCTCTTGAGGAGCCACTCAAAACCATCACTTTACCCTACATTGCAGGGGTCACTAAAAAGATCTCCAAAATCCTGAATAAACACAAGATCCAGGTCCGATTCAACACAGTACATAAAATCCGTCATCTGGTTCCATCTGTAAAAGATGCTGTTCCAGACATACAGTACCCAGGCGTTTACAAACTAAAGTGCCTCTGTGGTAGCAACTACATTGGAGAAACCAAACGACATATCTCGGACCGCATCTGCGAACATGAAGCAGACTTGAAACACGGTAGGACGAACTCTTCTGCCGTGGCAGATCACTGTTATAATTCAGTGGGTTCACATGACATCGACTTCTCCAAGACGGAGGTTCTTTGCAAGGCAACCGGCTACCATGAGAGATTCGTTCACGAGGCCATCCACATATACAAGCACAGAGACAATTTCAACCGAGAAGATGGATTCTGGCTTAGTAACCATTGGAAAGATGTTTTATGAATTTCTGTTCTTAATTAATTGTATTTTACGGTGACCGTCAGACCGCAGCTCTTTCGCTGGCATTACCTCTTAATACCTCTCACACCACGGTTAATGGTATGGTTTATAACATGGAGTATAACAGCGCATTGTGGCTGTTTCTCTCCCTCCTGCATGATAGTTAGGTAGTTGGAGGCCTTTATCGTCCATATACTAAATGCCTCTGTTGATATGTAAACTTTGACTTTAACATAGCTATTTCTGTCACAAGCTAATCCATCAGCTATTTCAATGGTAAATTCTCCTGCTTTGATATGTAAACTCCTTTGTCAAGGCGCTTCACGCCTCTCACCGAGCTTAAAAGACGCTACGAATCTTAGCAGCGCTCATTGAAGCGCTGTCGTCCCGACAGTTCTATTCTTTCACCTGAAGAAGGCTACTTGTGTTGTGGCCAAAACGTCGTGAGAATTTTATTGTCTTATTTTATTATATTATTTTATTCTCATTCTACGTGACTTTACCGAAAGAACCAAAGAAGATGAATCCTTGCAGTCACGAAAGCTTTAAATCGTCAATTATTATTATGGTGTCAGGCACTGGAACCTTGGTTAATAGAGAGACCACATCAAAGCTGATGAGGACATCATCAGGAGACAGTACAATGTCCTTGAATAGAGAGACCAAGTGAGTTGAGTTAAGTACTGCTGAGGTGGTTTTGCCAGTGAAGGGAAGCAGAGTATCCGATAGAAAATGGGCTAGTTTGTAGGTAGGTGAGTTGATCGTGGACATGATGGGCCGCAGTGGGGTATCTTCTTTATGGATCTTGGGAAGCCCATAGAATCTGGGAAGTCTCGCAGCCGAGGGTTTCAGGGAGAGCCGTTTGATTGGTTCGATTAAGGAAGTCGAACTAGTAATGATCTTGTTGGTTTTAGTAGTTAGGCTATTAGTCGGATGTCTATTGATACCATAGGGCCCACTGCATATCTGATCAACACCACCTGGCCAGTGAATTGGAACATGTACATCTGGCCCTCAAGATGTACGGATACTCGGACCGTGCTATCCGCCAAGCTGTTTCTCCCACTGTGGAGAAACATCCCCTTGAGACTCCGATCAAAATCATTACGTTGCCATACATAGCAGGCGTTACGAAAAATATTTCCAAAATTCTAAACAAACACAAGATCCAGATTCAGTACAGTACACAAGATCCGTGATCTGATCCTATCCGTAAAGAATGTCATTCCTGACTTACAGTACCCTGGTGTCTACAAACTGAGTTGCACTTGTGGTGATTGTTATATCGGGGAAACGAAACGACATTTCTGACCGCATTCGCGAGCACAAGTCGGATTTAAAGCACGGCAGGACAAAATCTTCGGCCGTAGCTGACCACTGTAATTATACTGCTGGTTCTCATGACATTGTGTTCTCCGATACCAAGGTACTCTGCAAGCCTCCTGGATACTACCAAAGATTTATCCATGAAGCCATCCAGATACAAACATAGACATAACTTCAACCGAGAGGATGGATTCAAATTGAGCAATCATTGGAAGGATGAAATTAACCAAGTTAAACTTTAGCTGCCGTGCAGTTTACTGTGAGACAGCCAGTCTATATTTATTTTCATATTCTTATCCATATTCCTAGTCTTCTACTCCCAGATTTACATACTACCATCACCATTGCTACACGTAATTTCGAGCGTGCAAGTTTAGTTTGCGCCTTTCCAGATATATATGAAGAATAACTTCAACCGAGAGGATGGGTACAAACTGAGCAATCATTGGAAAGACGTTATTAACCAGGTAAAGTCTTAACTGACTGTGATGTTTCCATCCAACCTGCATTTGTCAGCTGTTATTTCGAATCTCTGTCTCTCTCTCTCTATGCCTCTCTCTTAGATCTCTCATGCTCACGTCCGTTGCATTGCACTCCCATGCCTTTGGATTGCACTCTCATGCTCACATGTCTTTTGGATTACACTCTCATACTCACAGGCCCTTCAGATTACACCCGTTGGGTTGCACTCCCTCGTCGAGGCGGCTGCTCTTCTCCTTTTTTTCTACAGTTACATGCTAATGTCTCACATTAACATCATGTTAATCTCTCACATTAACATAGCCACTTCCGTGCCCTCCAATTTCTCACATTAACATCATGCTAATCCCTCACATTAACATAAGCCACTTCCGTGCCCTCGTCTAGGAGGCCACTCTCCTAGCTTACTTTTACATGCTAATTTCTCACATTAACATCATGCTAATCCCTCTCATTAACATAGCCACTTCCCTGCCCTCGTTTAGGAGGCTGCTCTCCTATCTTACAGTTACATGCTAATTTCTCACATTAACATCACTAGCCCCGGCCACTTCTTTATAACCCTTGAGCTACACCCATTTCAAACCTTTTAAAACAGTCTGCCTCAGCAGCAGACCATGCTTTCCCACCTGATGATGGACGCTTGTATTGCACCTGAAACGTCGTCATTTATTTTATTTCATACCTACGTGACTTTACTGACAGAACCAAAGAGAATAGTGGTGTTGTATATACGTCTTTTCCAAATTTTTTTTATATTCAGTGTGATATTGCCTATTCTTAATGTAATAGTTTTTTGACATATGCATGAAAACCAGAGTCCAAACAAATTAGTATTTGAATGAAGTCAACAAAGAGCTTCATAGCTTGGGCTGATGACCAGTGAAGCAGGCATGTGAAACTCCTCCTTGAAACAACAAAGGCCAAAGGGGCCACCCCTGCTGCTTCAGTTATCCCTTACACAAAGGAGATTCGGCATCTGGGAAGTTAGTTGTCCACGAGCCTTGGCTTTGAAAAGTTGTCAAGTTTAAATCGACCAACACCCTATAGGAATATTTTTAAACATCACGATATTTAACCATAACTTGATGATAGGATGTACTGTTACATGACCATGCAGCTTAGGAAAAAAAGGTTTAACATGACTATTTTGCATATTCTTACCAATAATTACCATTATTCCATATGGGCTGGCTTAAGTACATGAAACTTAATGATAATAAAATTATGAAAGCTCTGAATTTTGACTTAAAACTTTCGTGTCTGCAGGAATTCATATTCTTGGTTCTTTCGGTAAAGTCACGAAGATAGAAAATAAAAATAATACAATTAATCAAATAAAATGAAAATTTAAAATAAAAAAAGATAAAAGCAAGAAACCCACGACGTTTCAAATCGCAAACACAAGCGATCTTCATCAGGCAGAGAGAAAAGAGGGCAAGCCTCCAAATGCAACTGCTTAAGGGTTTCCAAAGTGAGTGGGCGGGGGACGAGAGTTGGGGGAGGAAAGCTCGTGCAGCATAAACAGCATGGGCGGGTCAGCCAGTCAGCCAGTGCTAATATAGGAGTAGACAATGGGGGAGTTTGGAGGAGGACTGTGCGTACACAGCATGGGCGGGGAGACAATTGGGGGGGGAGGAAGGGGGTAGAGATAGGGGGAGAGAGGGGGGTAGAGATAGGGGGAGAGAGGGGGGGGGGTAGAGATAGTTGGAGAGAGAGGCGGTAGAGTAGGCAATAGGGGATTTGGGAGAAGGCCCTGTATGCATTTTGGCGTCTGGCTGTACGCCTTTTGGCGTCCTCTGGTCTCACACCGTTTGAGACGAGGCTCAAAAAAAGCTGTCTCTGGTGTGGACCAATCAGTTTCAAGGACAATGCATATATTATCAGAGTATGTTTTTTGTTTGCATTCTGACCACAAGTATTGTGGTTAATGCAGACATGATTCCTTGTAAAAGGTTTCAGTTTGGTGTTTTAACATCTTAACACCTGTTGTGTTGCCAGAAAAAAGGGGAAAAACCTACACCACCTTTCTTCATAACGCCAACAATTTATTTTAACCACGATCATTTTATGTACAACTTTTAAATTGTTGTAAGGCACCTTGGATTAAGGTGTTGTTTAAATCCATAATGAAAAAAGATTTGCCTGATATATGACAAATTAGGTGTTGACCATGTAATACTACTACTAAATCATTGCCCCTTTCCTAACGCAGTATAGATTATAATAAATGCTGCTCATATTTAAACATGTTAATTATTCAAATTATAAGACGTATTAAAATATACAAATGATATGAATATTGTAATTATATTACAAGGAAATTATGATTGCTGTATATTGTATGTTACTTACTTTTCGTCCTCTGTAGTAGAACCTTGCTTTTCTTGGAATGATCCCACACCTTTCTTTGGCAATGTTAACAAATTGTTCCAGCGTGTCATTGAGGTCTACTTCCAATACAATGACTTTACTATCCAGCAAATGAAGAAATATATGTATCTTCGTAGAGCTGTATGAAAAAAAACACATGAATAGTCTTACCCTAAAGTTCAGCAAATGGCTATGCAGCACAGTAGAATATCTTAGATATAAAACATGCCTCTACATGGAAGATGTTGATTAGCCAATCAAATAATAATAACTTCACTTCATCTGGAAGAAAGAGATCATTATAAGACGTTTTAAATAATATACTCGCTGTTCTCTGGGAAGTAAGGTTATGCAATGTTCATGAAACTAAGATGGCATTCAAGCAAGCTTGCCATTGCATAATTCTTTTAATCAAAATTATAAAGGTATGTTAAGCAATTAGACAATATTTGGACGCATTGGCGGTACACTGGTGTAGAATATTACATCGGTCCTCATAAAACAGCCTAAAACCAAAATGTGAATCAGTAAATCTGTTTATCAGTCTTTAATTAACCGTATCGCCAAGTTTGAAGTGATTCAAAGGTTTTTACAGGCTACCGAGACTTGGTTAAAAAAGGTCAATATTGACCGTTGATTTGGGTCCATTGAATCGAGGAACCGTCCGACCAAGTCGAGAGCACGAGGAGTCAAATCTGCCTTTGGGACACGGAGCGAGCCAATCGTCATCAGGCAGGGTGCTGCTATACGGCGACAGACTCTGAAACTTCATTTTCAGCTGCTCATTTAATTTGTCTTCAAACCGCTTCGACATCACGATAACTGATTTTGATGCACACCGCAAGACTTTGTGACCAGGGTTGCAAATCGCGGGAATATTGATCATTATTGCGTTCAAGTTGATTTTATACTGTGCACCGGTGTACCACCAATACGTTCATTTAGTTCAATTCTCACCCATGGCTCATATCAGGTGGTCATATCTGGACTGGTCTCGCGCTTCCCCCCAATCTTCCACCTTCACAAACCCACATTGATCTGCATGATCTATGGTCAAAACTCCATGAATAAAATACATGGGGAGGCCTTCATCCATAAATTGATTAACAAGGGCTATAACTTCTCTATTGCTAGATAAATGCATCCCCATGTATTACCATCCTTCATAGTCACTGATTGCAACAATCCATTTACCTCCTGTCCATAACCATTTTTATTTCTCTCTCTCCATTCTGAGCATTATATCAGGAATGCACTTCATCATTTCTCGAGCAATGCCTACCATCCCTTTTAGCAACGACCACGTGATTGTATTAACAGTCATTATGATGACTCAAATTTTGAGTGTTTTATAATCAACGTGTTTCTCTTCCAGTGTGACTCCAAGAATGTTTTTTTACGTAATTTATAGCTTCGTTTCCACATTCCTGGCCAGTTTCAAAGTTTTTGATTAGTTTCACAGCAGGTAACATATTTCCTACTTTAGACACACTCGTAAATTTATTTTTATAACAATAAACTCGTTTTACCAGAGTGCAATTCGCTATTAAAGTTGATTCTGTACTTTGCAGCAAGCCAGTACAGGCAGGAAAGAATAGGCGAAATATGGTTACATGATTCAGACCTATTTAAAACCCGGGCAGCTGTTTTTTTATATATATTGTAGTTTGTTTAGAACATTCTTAGAAATGCTAGTCCGCAAGGCATTGTAGTAGTCCAACATTGATTAAATAAAGCCATGCACCAGCCTCTCAGCATCAGGAAGAAACAGCGTAGGTCTAAGTCGAGCTATGTTGAGTAAGTGGAAAAAGAAGTCAAACTGGGATCTAATAAAATACCCAGGTTTCTGACCTCAGATGAAGACCGAATTACAGTTCTCTCTAAGACATTTGACGTAGAGAGTCCAACAACATAATCTGTCTTATCACGATTTCAATTCAGGTGCATCCACGACTTGACCTCAGCAAGTCAAAGTAAAATTAAATAAATTGCTACTTTGGTATCTGTCAGAGTCTTAAGATAAATCTGAGTCATCAGAATACCAAGTTCAGTCTTCTAATAGCACGCCAACCTGCTCATGCTCATTTAGAATAAAAAAAATCTGGTTCACCAACATCAATTACCTTAAGTATAATTTTCTGATGTTTTCTAGTTGTATCCCTCTGACATATCTTTTAGATAAATGACTAATGTTTTGCTCATATTGAGCCACATTTTGTACCCTTTATTGGTTAAGTTCAATAATTTATCGTAATTAATTTACATTCGTTGTTACGATAAAAATGTCAAATGAGATAGTCAATTTATGGCTTAAACAACACCCATTTCCTGGATGGTTGCTCGTCGGTAACAGTGTGTTGTACACAAAGCCATTGGGGGGTAGGCTGATACTAATTGGCCAATGCCTTCATGCCATACTTCGCAGCTTCCATGTATGTTTAACTTCTTTCGCACCGTATGTAGCCAACTGTGTTAATCGGAGGTGCCATAGTGACCAATGGGGGCTCTGGATGGATACGAAGGGCTGGTAACCACTCCACCTTAAACTACTTAGAAATAAGGGAATGTGGGAGCGGAGTGGTGAGGTATGGGAAGCTCAAAGTCGCAGGGCACTGTGGGCTCGACTCCCCATCAGCGAAAGGAGAGGAATGGTGATGGATCATTCCTCCATCATTGAAAAACATCAGGGTAGAGATGCAGGAAAGACGGATGGGTCAGATGCCTTCTATGATCTCCTGTCCCAGGTGCTGGTCAAAGTGTCCCTTTGGGATATTCATCCTGTTCAGTGGCTTTTCTGCCTGAGTAGATCAAGACGCAAGCATCTTGGCTGGAGTAATTAGAGGGAGGCATGAGCTACATCAGATCAACAACGGTAGGCAGCTGCTAAATCTCTGTGCAGTCCATGGACTTCTAATCTGTTCTGGCATCGGCGTGCCCATACATGCAATTAAGCCAATTACAGCTCAGTCGCAACTAAACGACCGCCATGCATGTGTAGCGCTGTTAATGGGCTGCAGGCACTTACCTGCAGTAGCGGACAGGGCCCATCAGGGGCAGTACTGTGTACCAGCAGAGGGGTCGCTACGTTCCCCAGCCCAAAAGCAGGAGGGGGCCAGTCCAAGACAGAAGCCAGAAGACCAGCTAGCCAGGGTTTTGGGACCCCTAGCCCCGCTTTCCTTGTAAGGGCGGGACTCTGTGGACCAGTGGTGAGACCCTGGGAACCCTAGACCCGACGTCCTTGTAACGGCCGTGTCCGAGTGGGCCAGTGGTCGGAACCCGTACCTTGGCTGGGTCGGGTCAGAATAGCCTCCTCAAGGTCACTCATAGCCGGAGGACCTGAGAGCTGCAGCCAGTGTAATTACACACTAGTCCGTAGGCTGTACCTCCCCAGGTGATAAGTAATAAGAGATGGCTGTAGCCTTAGTGAAGGCTGAGACTGTTGCTGTAAAGCGTTTATTGAATAAACGCGTTGCCTCTACAAGTCGTCTCCGTGAACTCACTACACATGCATCTCTAACCAATGGGTGTCGCGACTGAGACAATGCTCAAGTATGGTTGTCAATCCAGAATCAGCATGGTCGAAAACCTGCCCCACTCTCTGAATATGGAGTAGTTAGTGCACCAGTCACCTTCAGCATTGCAAGTTTGGAACCTGACCCAAGTGTTGTGCGTGTAATAAAAAACCTTATCCATGAACAAGGGTGGGCTCTCTGTGCCTAAGCACATCAAGCAAAGGCATTACACCAGGGGGCGCCACGGTGGCGAGATTTATCTCCTTCGCCTGGTATATAAGCGGTCGTGTGTTCAATCCCGACCCTGACGCCTGTATATGTGGACTTTGCATGTTCTCCCTGTGGTTGCTTAGATTTTTTTCCTCCGGGTCCTCCAGTTTCCCCTTCTTGTTTTTCCCTCCACATTAATAAACATGCGTTTTGAGTATTTGGCTGCTATACATTTCCACATGATAAGCCAATTCGTTGAGCCATCATTTGTGGCCAGATCACTTCTGCTAGAGAGCTGTACAGCTCAGTGGGCCTTACCTGGTAAAAAAAAAATCGTTTATAGCTTATTTTCCCTCCAGTCGGGGACCAATGTGGCCAGAGAGGAGCCCCTAAATCTGTAGCCCTGCTGACCCACAATGTGGGTCGCACGGCATTCGAGTAACAGAGGGAGGAGGGGTGTACATGCGGGTACAAGTATGGGCCACAGAACCGCGTGTGTAATTGTAGTTCTCGTGTTGGTGGTAGCAAATGGTTTCGTGATTCTGGTGATAGTAAGGTGCGTCGCATGATCCAATCTGATCTTACCGTGGTCGAACGAGCAAGCGAGTAGCTGGGGATAGAGGCGAGAATCAAGGGGGCGAGGTTGGAAGAAGAGCAGAGTATTGAGAATACCACTTCAGAGGAAATTAAAGCCTCTCTGGAAGCTGCAGCTTTTCTTCACGAGTAGTGCTTGGCAGAAGTTACACCCGTCACGGCAATTGGCTGCCCAGAGCGTGGAGTGGTACTCACTATGTTAACTCTTGGTGCTAGTGTAATATTTTTGAGCCATTTGCAGCCATTCAGCACCTGTTCAATTACTTGACTATCAGGGCCACTGCACCACCTAGAGTCGCCCTCTCGCCTCTCCACAAATTGCAAATATTAAAACGTTAGGAAAAAGAGACATTGCAACTTATAGAAAGCAACAAAAAAACAGATTTAAACAGGATTGGTTCCTGGCCATGTGTCTTTGACAAAGTAGATCACATGAGTCTGTATTTTTTAAGTATGGGCTCTTAAAAAATTAATCACTCAATTGTGATTAGAATGTCAATTCTAGTCCAGTGCCTTGTCTGTTTAACAATTAAAACATATTTCCTTTGCTGGCAAGGCCACAGTGTAAATCTACAGCCAGCACTGGGGCTTGATTCACAGTACAGTGCTCCCACTGTCCCCTTTGGGATTCTCTTAATTATAAAAAAAAATTATTTGAGATTGTGTGACTCATTCTTGCACAGCTTGGGTAGCAATATGTGAATTGGTCTCGACACGGCACGATGTAACAACAAATAAACAGAATGAAATGTTCTATGTTTTATTACAATTATTGTAATTTACCTTGTTTCATTAACCGAACTTGCAGTGAACCATGATTCGTCATCATGAAAAGTTTGAAGTGTGATATGCTTTCTTATGCCGGTCTTCTGTTGGTTTGTTTTTATTTTGGTTTGGTCGTGTACATTGTGTCGGAATATTTTAAGCCCTTTATGTTTTCTGCGTTTACATGGAAGTGACACAAGTTTGCTGAAGATGACATCTCTTTGTTGAACGAAACATTTATTTTGTTTATAAACATTCTTCAGCATCAGCTGTGCCTTTGTAGCATGAGGAAGGTCTTCCGGGAATATCCTTGAAAATGGCAGCACCAACATTTTCTGTAGATATAAAAAAGATATATAGTAATATTCAACGGTCCTTGTGCATGATAAACAGGAGTAAAATAACCACTTACATATTTTTACGAAATAAAAAAGAAATTGCACCACAGAACAGTATGTCAACATTTTCACAACGTAATTAACATACAGCACATAGTCCTTCCTGGCTGTTGTTGCAATCAGATGTTCCAATTAGTTTATTGAAACATTGAAGTTTGAGCATTACTCCGTAATGCAATATTTCACCTACTATATTTTATCCAATCGGGTGGCACTGTGGCAAACCAATTGTTATTCAAATCCCTGTTGATATGATAAATTGATTACCAGAAGTCTATAAACTGACCAATACATCTCTTTTTCAAGGGCGATTCAGCCAGTAGACAATTGAAGCAACAAAGTAATGCAAATTCCCAGTTTAACAGTTTTTCTTCGAAGTTATTAGCATAATTATCTTGAACACAATTATCTACATTCACACTTGAAACTTTGTGATCTCGATACGGTATGTTAAGGGAGTACAGAGATGGCAGAGTGGTGTTCCCGAAATACACCAGGTGGTTCCAAAACTTTAAAACAGCTACATAAAACTATTTTGAACCAAATTGTCTATGTAGGGTAAGTCATCATTAACGCATTTTTACAATAACGCGATTCTTCCATTAGGGAACACTTTTCGCACAACGTGGCCGATATCACACGGAACGTGTACCATTATAACAACGTGGTTTCTGAGCAGTTGGCGACAAACTACTTTCTTGAGCTGCGTGGCTGAACGGTATGATACAGTAACAAAACAACGTAGCCTCAGTTATTTTCCCCAACATCTTACTGTGTGTGGATACATCGTATATCACCAAATTTTATCGTGACATTATTTATGGGGAAATTGTTTTTGCTCTACGCGTTTTTCGCTTCACGCGCAATTTTCAGGATATCATCTACCGCGTTAAACGAGAACTTACTGTAATTACTAGTTTGTGGGAAGTCAGTGCTTGTTTTACAGAGAAATTGGACAGTTAATAGAATGTCATATTTCCACCACTCAAATCAGTGGCTGAATGGAGATGAGCATCACTCTCCGACTCAATATTGAATTTAGCTTAGGTTGCACAGTGAAAATATCTGCAATTACCGTTGTAATGGTATTCATACATTATGCAATATCTCAAGTTATGGCCCATATACATACAATATATACGTTTGGTGCCTAATCCACCTTCCCACTTCAGACGTACAGCCCACCCCAGAGTGCAACAAGATCTAGGCATGAAAAGGCACCTGTTCTGCCGAAAAAAAACACAGCCAATAATTAAAAAAATTATACGAGAAAAATAGATAACCATGATGTTTTTCTTCAGAAAGACATTGATCCAATTGTATATCCAGTCATGTCTAAATACCATTAGAATCTGAAGGAAAAGCACAGGGCATCTATAGTGCCACAGCTACAGAGCTGAATGGCTACAATACCTGCAGATACTAATTTGCAATGATAGATTTATTAAAACGCATCTCTGATTCATTCAACCAGTGGAAATTGAAAGGCTAACAATTATAATGGTGTTAAAGGCAAAAAGGTGGTAAAAGTTAGGGATAATGCTGTAACCAAAGTAACGTCTAAAGTATAGAGGTTAAAAGGATGAGGAAATCAGAAATTCAAAAAACCATTACGAAAAAGTCCAACAATTTAAAACATAATCATCCATAATATTATGGATGTAACCACTGCCGTATCAAAGCATACCCAATCCGTTGCCATCTCTCAGTCCTGTTATGCAACAATGCATCCAGCACCTACACACAGGTTATTTCAGCAGTCTCCATGGTAGCTATCCTCTTAGGCATGTTCTCTCCTTTGGCCTCCATGCTGTGTTAGTCTCAATCACCAGTCATCATCCTAAGCCCACTTACATTTGGTAATATTCGATATGATGCTGATAACCATATGATGCTGCTAACTCTCTTGATCCAAGTGTTTATTTTTCTGTTTCTGGGCATAGAGATGTATTGGCATGGTTGCATATGTATATGCATTGGTGTATGATTATGTGCACGTCTTGCAGTGCCCAAGCATGAATATGCATATTGTGTGTGTTTCTAAATGTGTAGCTATGTCAGTCGGTGTATTTTTAAATAAGGCCTATTGAGCTAAGAAGATGCTTTCCAATGGTGGCCTGACTGAAAATGCACGATTGTTACAGAGGGAGGATTTACAGATGTCGCATAGAACAAAATAATGAATTTGATAAACATCGCTAATAACCACCCAGAACTACGCACAATATAAATATATTGGACAATCCAAAATAGCATTATTCATGATATGAGAGGAACTCACATTTGGTATTTAAAATTGAATTATAACATCATGAATTACAATTGCACATCCCCTTTTAAATCGGCATTTTCAAAAAAGTAACTTAAGTTTTCAAGTTCATCACAATTAGCTTTACAAATGAAAAGCCATTCATGTATATAATCTCGCGGGGTGTGAATAAATATTCCACAGTGGCATGAATATGCAATTGCATAAACATATAGAATGCAGTGGTGTTCATCTATTTAATCACCAGTGGTTTTTTTATCGGAAATTAGCCATTTATTGACACTTTCACAATTTACTCATTCTACAGAATCCTGTGAGCCAAAACAACTGAAATTAACATTCAGTAATGATGTTTGCAATACTGTAATATTAGTGCTAATGGGAATCACTCAAATCACGTTCACTGAATATGACACATAATGCCTTTAAAAATATATTTCCATTCAATGATTTCTGTACACAAGAACAAAGGCCCACTGCAGAACGTTGGGCAACAAAAGACAACGGCACGCGGCTAATATCCGCCAGGTCCATGTACCCGACGGGTCTTGTTTTTTTGGGGGGTGGGACAGACAACCCGGGGAGGGGAGAATCTATTGTCTTGTTTACATTGGAAAATCGTTCCGGTAGAACATTCGTTTTTTTACATAGGGGGGAGGTGGGGCTGTGTAGAAAGTAAAGGAGAAAAGGGGAGGGTTTTAACATCGGGTGGAGAATCCCCGGCTTTGTATGGCAGAGAAAGTCAGGTGAAAGGGAAGTGGGGGTAAGCAAGCAAATGTGCGGCCGGTGCTTGACGAAACTTCCCCACCAATAGGCCGAGTATCACTCCCATTGAGGCCCTGAGGAATCTGATATCCCCTTCCAGTGGTCCCTGTCCACCAGCCTTCTCATCTGGCTCACTCATTGCAGGCCCTGCATCAGGGGAGCCCATGTTGCATCGAGCTCCTCTCATGGCACATTATGCCTTTCATGTAACAAGGGATCGTTTGAATGCTGCTTAGGTGAATCACTTACATTCTATGTGAAGTAATACCTGTACAGTATCAATACTTGCACTTAGGATATCATTTGTCCAATTTTCAGGTACGGTGGGTGGGGGGCATATAAGATGAACAGGCTTTGACCAACTCACACCTACCAGCATGATGAAAGTACTATATGCTGAAATAATCCCCATGGCGGACACGACATATGTCCCAAAAATGAAAATATTGGGATTTAACATAATGCAGGTGATATTTCCTGAATGCTTCACACACTTTAAAATAATAATGCGTTTTACCTTGGGAAGTCTCGCCAAGACTCAATACTTCATCAGGCCTCTGTTATATTCGGATGTTTGGCCAATGGCATGAGGCCTTTTCCACTTTTTTTTTGTCAGTGACGCTCTTGTTGGCTCAAAAAAGAGTTTCTACAGTAGCTCTATTGCACAAGCCTCTTTTCCACTTCGAGATGTTGTGTATATTGTATTGTTGTCTGTAGTGTGTAGTATGCATCCTGTTTTGTAGACTGCAGTGTACGTGTGTACCAGGGACGTGCGGTCATGGGAGGCAGGGGAGGCACAGCCTCACCTGTCATACTCCAATGAAAATAGCTGTTACTAAAAACAAATTATCAAATAAAATACATTTTAAGATTTTCCCACTGATCTGTGTTATAAATGTAATTTCTGTACGATTCCAATAATTTTTATAATCAAAATCGACAAATTTACGGAGCTCTGCTGCAAATACAGGAAAAGACGAGAGGTGAGGCAGTGACGAGCTCAGCCTCCTCTCTGATTGCGCAATTGGATGGAGCGCGGGCAAGAAGCGCGTGCCTGTTACTATCTCAGTATGCCACCAATGTAATGTTTGTAGACCCCTTACTCCGCAGAGGCTGATCTTGACATTTCGGGTACCAGTCATCGGCAAGTCCAATTTAGCTACACATTCACATCAGTCAATCTATTTTATATCCGATTTAGCCCCATATATCTGGCTATACTTAAGCTGCATGGGCATGCAGTGGCTAAGCATGTGAGCTACATTACCCAGCCAACACAGCCTCGCCTGTCGGAGCTCATTGATCGGACGGTGTCCAGATATTTTGAGGATCTGCTCACAATCCAGTCTGGTTCAATCCAGGATGGATCAAAGGCAGGCTAGCCTGACATTATCAAACCAGCACAGATGTTGTTTTAGAGAGCTCTACGTTACGCAAGCATAGAAGAGGGAGGGCATAACTGTGACAAAAAAAGCAGAGCGCTTAGTATGGAGTGACAAATCAGGTAGCTTCAGCAGAAAAAAAGAGGGAATGTTGCTGGACTGATTCTCGAGAGAGACCTCAGCTGCCAAACCGGAGCTGGTCATAAGCACACTGCCCAGGTAAGGAACTTCTCCACTCACTCCAAACTGCCCCATCACTCATGGGGAGTGAAGGAAGGGGAGCATTCTCATACATAAAATACCCATGCAGGTGCTTTATTTGTGTGTGTGGGGCTGAAGGTAAGCACCATCTCTTAGTACCATGCTTCAGTTTCAGCAGTGGCATCTCCAACTCCTCAGAGTGGGCAGCAATTATCAGATCATCTGCGTACATAACATTGTCGACCAATAAGAAGCCAACCCTTGACCAAACTCGGGCATCAATCAACCTTCCATTGTATCTAGACCAGATGGTAATTCCACCCATACAGCCATGTAAAACGTTTCAAACGATGTCGTCAAAAAATATTAAATATTGTAGGGGGCAGACGACATTCCTGCTGCACCCCAAGGTAAACACAATATTGCTCCGACTAGAAAACACGAATAATAATCCAGAGCCCAGGCCTATTTATGGTATCATAGACCTTGACCAGATCAATAAAACATTGCTGCAGGCTGCCCGTGTGCCACCTCCTTCCTACCTGTGCGCTGTCTCCTCTCTTTGAGTCGAATCCTGCCATCTGTCTGTGAGCTGCTGACTACCTGTGTGCTGCTGCCTGCCTTTGCGCCGCAATCTACCTCTGCAATGATGTCTGCCTCTGTACCGCCGCCTGCCTTGCAGCACTGCTTGCCTTTTGTGATCGCACCTATGCTGATCTACTGTGGGTTGAAATTGCCTGCCAACCCCCGTGCCGCCAATTTAACCTTTGCTTCTCCGAATCTCTATCTCTTCTCCATGGTTTGCTTACTACTTACTTTCTTATGTTTCTTTTCTGCTCATGGGAACAAATGTGGGAGTGGATCATCAGGAGCTGCGTGTGGTGTCAGGGACATGTCGTGTGAAAGTGGGACGAATCGCCGGAAGAGAATGCATGTGCTCCTGTTTTTACTAACATCAGCTTGCTTGCCTCCAGTGTATTTATTTCTCTCTCTTCTCCCTCGTCTACTTCATTGATGTCACTCTACTCTCCTCTGTGACTCGACCCCACCTTCCTCTTTGCTCCTTGTCCTCCCACTATCCTACCATGGCCTCATCTATCTTTTCTTTCTCTCTACTCCTCCCCATTAACCTCTCTTTTCTCCCCGTCATTTTCCTCTGCCTTCTTCCCTACATCCCCATCTTCCCCATAAACCTCCCTTTATGTTATTAAACTCTCCTTTCCTTTCATACTCTCTCTCACTCTTCTATATTACTTCCTCAACATATCTGCTTTATAATCTGTCCAATGGTCCCGGAGTATCACACACCGCTGTTACCGATTAGTAACAGATACTTTATTGAGCACTTATCTGAACTGCCTCCATCTGTTTTAGAGTTGAAAACAGATGGAGAGGTCTAAATAAGACAATAATTTGTTAAATTAAGTGATCAACAGATCAACTTAAACGAAAATCCAACAGACAGAATAGTCCTCAAGACCAGGGAAAGGAAACACTGGTCGATGAAACCTGCAATAATCTGGAACATTATAGAAAATTGGTCCTTAATATGAAAAATGTAAGTACACAAACATCAGATTTCACGGTCTGTGACGCGTTTTATAATCGTAAATTGGTAGGGCCCTGTATCGTTTAATAACTTGTAAAACGTGTTAAAAGAAATTACAACTATTATATGAGACGATACCCGCACATGAAAGTTTATCAATGTTTTTGACACTGCAATTCAGTTGCATAGTGGGATGTACACAACCATAAAATATAAATTATAACACAACAGTGTATTTTTTATTTGACACAATTCTGGTTAAGTGTATTCCTATGTTGCAATTGTTATTCCTTTTCCAAAAAGAGAAAGGATGCAGTGCTGAACATCTTATAACATTTATTTTACGGGATTTTTTCGGGAAAAAATGTGTACAATGAATGCACGTAATTTGATGTTACATTTAAAATCGCGTACCATTTTATAGTTGAAATATGATTTTCACAATTTTTTACCGTTTAATTTGCAGATATTTACATCATTAGACCTCCTTTGCCAGTACCAAAATATAATAAGGTTTTCCCCCTTTTTTTCTGGCAACAAAACTGAAACCTTTTCACAAGGATTCATGTCTGCATTAACCACAATACCTGCAGTCAAAATGCAAAAAAAAACATACTATGATAATATATGCATTGTCCTTGAAACTGATTGGTCCACACCAAGGGACGGCTTTCTTTTGAGCCTCGACCCAATTGGTGCTCGACCAGATGACGCCAAAAGGCTCTGGTCGAGCACCAATTGAGTCGAGGCTCAAAAGAAAGCCGTCCCTTGGTGTGGACTAATCAGTTTCAAGGACAATGCATATATTATCATAGTATGTTTTTTTTGTTTGCATTTTGACTGCAGGTATTGTGGTTTAATGCAGACATGAATCCTTGTGAAAAGGTTTCAGTTTTGTTGCCAGAAAAAAGGGGAAAAACCCTAGTATTACAGATATTTTTACAGTGCAAGATTGCCTATATCTCCGAGTTCAACCTTTTTGTTTTGTTTTTATTATTGTTACAGTTTCATCAATGCTATTTTAAAAAATGTGGAAGTTTTTAAATGTCCACCTATACATTTTTTCAATGCACATTTACAGTTGAATACTAATAAAACCAATATATGATTACTTGCTAGTGTTCTATTTTTTTTTTGTAAATTAACCAAGTGAAATGTGTATATTGGCCATTGATAATTGTCACCTAATATTTTCCCAGAAATAATTCGTAGAATGAATATGAAGTACTGATACTGTTTTATATAGTATATAACTGGCAATCCAGCTGGTAGTTTTTTTGTTTACCGTAAAATCAAGTGATTTTTAGCGTACTTTGAACCCATTCAAGGGGATATTACACTCATTCAGGCCCATAGGAGTTCTACTTAGGTTCAGGGAGGTTGGCCTTTGGACTAAAACTGGGCAGGGTTATGATTCACTAAGGCTCAATGCGGGTCCTGGCCACGTCTCACAACAAGGGCGCTCACACGCGACCCCGACGCACACTCGCCCCCCACCCCCTTCCTTACAACAGGGTAGGCTCACAGGGTCCTATCGTCCTGACCACGTGAAATAGGCATTGTGCCCACAGGGCATGACTCTCCCCGAAAAACAATTTGGTACCTACATTTTTACTTAAAACTTTCGTGACTGTAGGAATTAATATTCTTTGGTTCTTTCGGTAAAGTCAGGTAGATAGAAAAATAATTAAAATATATTGAATAAAAATTTTAAAAACACTAATGTAGACTGTAGCCTGGTTCTTAATCTGAGTGAATGTACTGGCAGTCTATAATGTAGATTGTAGCCTGGTTATTACGTTTGGTGAGTGGACTGGAAGTCTACAATGTAGGCTGAAGCCTGGTTCTTAAGCTGGGCGAGTGTACTGGCAGTCTATAATGTAGACTGTAGCCTGGTTCTTAACCTTGCTGAGTGTACTGGCAGTCTATACATCATAGACTGCCAGTACACTCAGCCAGCTTAATAACCATTGCTATAGTCTACATTATAGACTGCCAGTACACTCACCAAACTTAATTACCAGGCTACAGTCTACATTATAGACTGCCAGTACACTCACCCAGATTAAGAACCAGGCTACAGTCTTCATTAGTGTTTTTATTTTTTATTCACTTTTCTATTATTATTATTATTTTCCTATCTACGTGACTTTACCGAAAGAACCAAAGGATTTGGTACCTGTCGTTTGAAAATCGGTAAAAACAATTACGGCTGCTATAATGCTGACAGACTGACGGACATAAATTTTAGTTCCATTACCTTTATGACTTTCAATGAAAAACACAAATGTTAAGGTAAAAAAACAACTATTGCAGTAAACATACCATTTCCATCAGTAAAATCGATGAGCGACTTACCAAAGTATTTCAACAATGACCTTTTCATCCAAATTATTTTAAACCTTCAATCTTGTAACAACAAAAAAAAGTCACAAGCTGTAGAACAAAGACTACAAAGCTCTAGAGGGAATTTCCTCTGCCTTGACAATGTCCGACTGAAATATTATTGTTTAACATCCGATCAAGTAGTGAAACTTACTCAGTCGTGTCGTGCACTGATTGGCTCTGTCCTGTGACGTGCATTATTCCAAGAAACCACGCAAACATGTCAGCAACATTTTCCCAGAAACTGCACTAGTATTTTCACGTTACATTTACCATAAAGAGGAAGTTACATAAAAAACAAGTTTCGTTGAACGCTAATGGGTTTGTTTGTGTTGTTTAGAGTCATTATATAATCAAGCAGTTGGGTTAGTCAATGTACATTTTTTCCAACATTAATTAATCACGATCGGTTTACAGAGGTCATTTTATTCAGCTTAGCCAAGTATGAAATTTGGTCAAATATCCCTCAACTCCTGCAAGTTGTGAGGAGGTCCTTATTCAACAGTGTACTCACTAGTTCTGTATTATGCAATAATCTGAAATGTTCAAGTAAAATTCCAGATTTCGCACATTGTATTATACGTAAAATTTGCAGTTGTAATTTCAATTATTAACTTTTCAGAATAAGCCACGATGAAATGCGCATCCAAATGATTTTAAATCTCGTTTAATCTTTCGTGAAATAAAGCATTTGACCACAGACGGTCTTTACTCTGCCTTTGGTAATTTCCTACCAACATCACTAAATACAGGTGAAGAGAACAGAAGCGTTGAGATTTACCATGTATGAATTGGCTGTGGACTGTGACGTAAATACACCTGCATTATTCCGAGAAATCACGTCCGTTGTGGAGTCGCCCACTTCTCAGGAGGACAGAACACAACACTGAGTATCTTTACTCTTTGGTTCTTTCGGTAAAGTCACGTAGGTATAAAATAAAATAAATCACGACGTTTCGGGCACAACACAAGTGTCCATCATCAGGTGGGAAAACATGGTCTGCTTGTGAGGCAGACTGTTTTAAAAGGGCTCCTCGACGAGGGCACGGAAGTGGCTGTTATTGTGAGAGATTAGCATGTTAATGTAAGATCGAAGAGTGGTGCAATCCAAAGGCATGAAAGTGCAATCCAAAGGACATGTGAGCATGAGAGTGCAATCCAAAGGACATGTGAGCATGAGAGTGCAATCGAAAGGACATGTGAGCATGAGAGTGCAATCCAAAGGCATGAGAGTGCAATGCAAAGGACATGTGAGCATAAGAGGTCTAAGAGAGAGGCATAGAGAGGGAGACACACACACAGAGTCGGAAATAACAGATGACGTAGGTTTGTAGGATGGAAACATCACAGTCAGTTAATACTTTACCTGGCTAATAATGTTCTTCCAATGATTGCTCAGTTTGTACCCATCTTCTCGATTGAAGTTCTGTCTGTGTTTATATATCTGGATCGCTTCATGAACAAATCTCTAAAGGTAGCCAGTAGGTCGGTAGAGTACCTCCGTCTTGGAAAAATCAATTTCGTGTGAGCCCACAGCATTAAAACAATGATCAGCAATGGCGGCAGTATTGGTCCTACCGTGTTTCAGATCTGCCTTGTGTTCACGAACGCGGTCCGGGACATGTCATTTCGATTCCCAATGTAATTGCTGCCGCAACCACAACTCAGTTTGTAGATACCAGGGTATTGCATGTCAGGAATCCCATCCTTTACAGATGGGAATAAATCATGGATTTTGGGCACTGTGTTGAAACGAACCTGGATCTTGTGTTTGTTTAAGATTTTGGAAATATTTTTGGAAACCCCTGCTATGTATGGTAAAGTGATGGTTTTGGTTGGATCCTCAGAAGGTTGTCTCCCCATGGCCGGGGAGACAGCTTTGCGGATTGTACGGTCCGAGTATCTATTCATCCTGAGGGCTTGGTGTACGTGCTCCAACTCACTGGCTAGGTGGTGCTGGTCAGAGATGCAACGGGCCCTATGGTGTAGTGTTTCAATGAGGGAATTATTCTGGGCTGGATGGTGATGGAAGTCAGGCTTTAGAAAGGCATCCGTGTGGGTGGCTTTCCTGTAGACCGAATGTCCCAACGAGCCATCAGGTCTCTTTTCGATCAAAACATCCAGGAATGGCAGCTTGCCATCCTTTTCTACTTCCATGGTGAATTTGATAGACCGGTATATGGAATTGATGTGATTGAAAAATTGGTTCAGTGCTGGCAGGCCATGTGGCCAGATGACGAACGTGTCATCTACATATCTCTTCCACAAGGAAGGACGTAGGATGGATGTCTGGATAGCATCTGTCTCTAATTTCCTCTTGAAAACCAAAGAGTATGGATTCCTGCAGTCATGGAAGCTTCAAATCAAGATTTAATCGCCTCTACGGGGATGGTTTCCACACAGCTGTTAGAGCTTTTAACAGACTGCGAGACAAAAAGGCTCACCTGATCGAGTCGCTAACCTTTCTCAAGAGATGCCGCCATAACAAGGTAATGCCGATCGCATTTACACTCACATCTGTTGCTGTCACTTCTCCTAACACTAAACGGATCTTGTTCAAAGCCAGCCTATCGCTAATCTCAGAGAGAATAAAATTGCTCCGATTTGAACTTGATAATTTAGACAAGACTCTCTTACAATCACACTTAAAATTAACAGATAAAATGTCCACTTCTGATTGGGACCATGTAGATAACATGACAGTTTCTTCTGCTACTTCAATGTCAACCAAATGTAAAGTTAACTTGATCGCTAAATTCAACCTCCTGTCAAAAAATAAGCTAGAGCCATACATTAAAAAGTTAGATGTTAACAAGATTGTCATCAATCATAGTAACATCCCAATTTCCGACAGCCTAAAATCGGTACTAGCTAAAGGGTTGAATTCTGCAGTCACCCCTAAACACATCCCAGTGGATGATATAATTGCCCAGGTCGACGTACCCCTCAAAGGCTTGGGACACATCCCGGCAGATGTTGCTAGACCTGAAATCGCTATCCTCAAAAACGCAAAGTAACCCATGAGCAACATCAGCAAGGACGAGCGTTTTGAACTCTCTAAATGAAAAAATAGAGATGACATTGTCATCTTCTCAGCCGACAAGGGCAATGCCACTGTCATCATGGATAAAACCACTTACAACAACAAAATGCAGGACCTTCTTAATGATGGCAGCTATACCAAAATCAACAGAGATCCCGCCAACCGCCTAGCCACAAAAACCAACAATATCATCACTAAATCGACTTCTCTAATCGATCAGACCAAGCAGAGTTCCTTAAAACCTTCAGCTGCTAGACCACCCAGATTTAATGGCCTTCCAAAAATCCACAAAGTAGGTATCCCGCTCTGTCCTATCATCTCCGCCATTAACTCGCCCATCTACAAACTGGCCCGATTTATGTCTAAAACCCTGCTTCCTTTCACGGGCAAGTCCGCCTCAGCTGTACTTCACTCAGCTCACTTGGTTTCTCTAATCAAGGACATTTCACTGTCTCCAGATGATTTGCTTGTCAGTTTCGATGTAGTATCTCTGTTCACCAATGTACCTGTACCTGACACCATTGCAATCATTGAAGACTTGGTCCAACAAGGACTGAATCCAGATGTACCAACTTTGGTAAGGCACTGTCTTACCAACACATACTTCACCTGGAATGGTACATTCTACAAACAAAATTAGGGTACCCCAATGGGTTCTCCCTTATCGCCAGTGGTAGCGAATGTATTCATGGAGAAATTTGAGACAGATGCCATCCAGACATCCAACCTACGTCCTTCCTTTTGGAAGAGATACGTAGATGACACGTTCGTCATCTGGCCACATGGTCTGCCAGCACTGAACCAATTTCTCAACCACATCAATTCCATACACCCCTCTATCAAATTCACCATGGAAGTGGAAAAGGATGGCAAGCCACCATTCCTGGATGTTTTGATTGAGAAGAGACCTCATGGCTCGTTGGGACATTTGGTCCTCAGGAAAGTCACACACACGGATTCCTATCTAAAGCCTGACTCCCACCACCATCCAGCCAAGAAGAATTCCCTCATCAAAACACTACACCATAGGGCCTGTTGCCTCTCCGACCAGCACCACCTAGCCAGTGAGTTGGAGCACGTACACCAAGCCCTCAGGATGAATGGATACTCGGACCGTACAATCCGCAAAGCTGTCTCCCCAGTTATGGGGAGACAATCTTCTGAGGATCCAACCAAAACCATCACTTTACCATACATAGCAGGGGATACCAAAACATTTCCAAAATCTTAAACAAACACAAGATCCAGGTTCGTTCAACATAGTACACAAAATCCATGATTTATTCCCATCTGTAAAGGATGGGATTCCTGACATGCAATACCCTGGTGTCTACAAACTGAGTTGTGGTTGCGGCAGCAGCTACATTGGGGAAACGAAACGATATGTCTCGGACCGCATTCGTGAACACAAGGCAGATCTGAAACACGGTAGGACCAATACCTCTGCCATTACTGATCATTGTTTTAATGCTGTGGGCTCACACGAAATAGATTTTTCCAAGACAGAGGTACTCTGCAAATCTACTGGCTACCTTCAGAGATTTGCTCATGAAGCCATCAAGATATATAAACACAGACACAACTTCAACCAAGAAGATGGGTACAAACTGAGTAATCATTGGAAGGACGTTATTAACCAGGTAAAGTCTTAACTTACTGTGATGTTTCCATCCTACCTGCCTACGTCAGCTGTTATTTCCGACTCTGTCTCTCGCTCTCTCTATGCCTATCTCTTAGATCTCTCATGCTCACGTCCTTTTGTATTGCACTCTCATGCCTTTGGATTGCACTCTCATGCTCACATGTCCTTTGGATTGCACTCTCATGCTCACATGTCCTTTGGACTGGACTCTCATGCCTTTGGATTGCACCACTCTTCGATCTTACATTAACATCATGCCAATCTCTCACATTAACGTAGCCATTTCCCTGCCGTCGTCGAGGAGGCTGCTCTCCATTCTTACATTTACATGCGAATTTCTCACATTAACATCACTAGCCCCGCCCACTTCATTATGACCCTTGGGCTACACCCATTCCAAACCTTTTAAAACAGCCTGCCTCAGCAGCAGATCATGCTTTCCAATCTGATGATGGACGCTTGTGTTGCACTCGAAACATCGTAATTTATTTTATTTTATACCTACGTGACTTTACTGAAAGAACCAATGAGTA